AGACAGAGAGAGAGAGAAAGAGAGAGAGAGAGAGAGAGAGAGAGAGAGAGAGAGAGAGAGAGAGAGAGAGAGAGAGAGAGAGAGAGAGAGAGAGATTTCGTTGTTGTACTCTATTTGCTGCACTGGTAGTGCGCAGCTTCTGTTTTTGTCTCATTCCCTCGTCGAGCTTGAATCCGCATGAACGATCTGCAACTTTGTTCAACGAATGTGTTTATCGATATAGCTCGTGTGCATGTGTGTTTGTGTCTCTGTGTGGGACTGTGTATGTGTGCTCACGTGCATGTCATTGTGTGTGTTTGTGTGTGGATAGAATGTATGTGTGTGTGTGTGTGTCTGTGTGTGTGTATGGATGCCGCTGTCACTGCATCTGCTGCATCTGTCGGAGCGGATGATCAACACACTGCGTCAAACAATGGATTCGTGAAAACCAGAGAAACAGACAAAAACCAGAGAAATCCTATAGACAGAAAAACGTCAATGGAACATAGCATTTTTTTAGAAGTAAAGGTGGATTTTGCACCGTTTCGTGCGCAAATGTCATCGAAACCCCCCCTAAAAATCAGTAAATATACGAGGCCGACTACAACGTGGAAAAAAGAGCCCATTTCGAAGGCGAACAGGCGACTCCTACTCATGCCTGACGAAAAGATCTCCAATTTATGGAGATTTTAGTCCAGAACGAAACGACCAGTCAATACTTTACACTGGAAGCAGTATTTTATTTCAAAACAGAAGAGCTTTTTCTGGAACCTGATCCAAGGACGTGAAAACTAACCGAAAACCTGGCAAGGCGAACCGAGCCTCTTTCTTTGCACTCATAATACTAAGGAAATAGAAGCTTGAAAGCGAAGGTAGTAAAAAAACGGGATGCAGAGGAAAGCAAAAAACAGCCAACGATAACTGATTTCAAATCTCCAAAAGTTGTGGACAGCCAAATTGACCATATTTGACCGTCTCGGAAATTCAACGACTTCCAAACACGATCTTATAGGCCTATAACTCGAATTTGCGCAAATGCAAAAAAGAGTCGAATCTCGCGAGATTTGAAAGAGACCTTGGGAAATTTTCTCGAAATTCGGAAACCGCACTTTTCGAGTTATAGGCCTATAACGACTGTTTAAAAACGAAACACGGATAGAATAATTTTAGTCCGCAATCGGTCAAATGTTTATAGCCCTATAAACGCAATGTTCAACATCACGGAAATTGAGCAATATTCAAACACGACCTTATAGGCCTATAATGCGAATTTTGGGAAAGTACAAAAAGAGCATAATTTTAGTACATTATCAGTCGAGTATTTAAAACCCTAAAAACACAGTGTTAAAAGTCGTGAAAATTCCACAAAATTTGAACAAGACCTTATAGGCCTATAACGCGAATTTTAGGGAAGTAGAAAAATAACATAATTTCGCGAGAATTTGACATGAAGCTTGGCGGGCGTAAAAAATTTATTTCGTAATCGGTGAGGTGTTTGAAGCGCTGTAAACGCAATGTTGAACGTCGTAAAAATTCAATGAAAATCGAACACGACCTTGTAGGCCTTTAATACGACTTTGCGGGAAGTAGAAAAGAGCATATTGTCCTGAGAGTTTGAATGACAAACCGCAAATCGACAATGGTTCATGTGACAAATGTTTTGGTCAAAAAATGAATGACAAACCGCAAATCAAAAAGTCGGAACCCTAACGGCAAATCGTGAGTCAATTTCCAAAATCTCAAAATTGTAAAGTGAAAAACCGCAAAGTACATTTGGAAAAGATCGCGAAAACAAAAAGGGTGGCCACACGTGCCAGGCTGCGAACTGCGGCCTACTGTTGTACAAATTTACAAAAATTTACAAGCCGCTAACGACAAGACTCAGATAACAAAAAGGTTGGCCACACGTGCCTGGCTGCTAACTGCAACCTACTGTTGTATATATTTACAAGAATTTACAAGCCGCTAACGACTAGACTCAGATAATTTGTTGAACAACGACAAAACGAAACCTGATCTAATGAGGGAGCAGAAATGACCTCGATCTCGATGACACTGTGCCAACCTCCGAAGCAATCGGTTCCTAGAAGGTCTTCCTAGTCGACATCCTCCGTTGCCATGGAATTCAACATCTCAGAGATCTTTTGTCAAGTTTGCGAGAAGAGGGTCCTGTCTGTCTTCAGTTGGAAGTTGTAACAAAGAACGTCGCAGCTCCAGTCATAGACTTCCTCGGAAGGCTCTCTCGTAGTCTTTCCTTGAGGATTTGTCTTGAACTGAGGATAGTAACCCTCTCCTTTCTCACGTTGTGCAAACCAAGCAACTTTGAATCGTTTACCTGCTAGCAGCTCGACAACCTTGCCAATGTGGTAAGATTTGCCTCTCTCTTCCTGCCCTGAACAAGCTAATAATGCGATGAAAGTGTTGACCTCGAGATCGTCGTACTTTCCGTCTCTGTCCTCTCGAAACTGTCTGCTCTTTCGTGCGTCGATGTAGATGGGTCTCTCAGGAGGGAACAGATCATCCCAGCGTTGGTCAAAGCCATTGGCAGTTGGTGGAACTTCGTCACCTGCTCTGCTGACATCAGCTGTTACAGAGGGTCACGCGAAAGGCTCTTTGAGGTTTGTGTCCTCAAGGTCGAGAGTTTCCTGCGTTGTTATAAACTTATTTCACCATTCAATGTTGTGGGGTTGAGCGTAATGCGACAAGGCATGTACGTTGGCTTTCAAGGCGGCGATGGAAAGTACATCATCGTCAACCTTGAATTTCGAAGATCCTCCCACTTTTCGATTATGGACATGACCTTCACTGCTGACGACCTTATCACGCCTCTCGTCCTCACCGCGACAAGTAAGTCGATATCTTGCTTCCAAAGATCAGATTGCATGCTTTGGCGAAACTTGAACTTGTCCTGTTGGCTCTGACTTGAAGATGTCCAGACCTTCTCTATCGTTCGGCTGCCACTGCGAGTTATGATATTGCTTGCTCCAAATGCGCACCTCCCCGTTGTCGTTGCGCTTGATTCGAAAATGTTGGTTGAAGCTAATATCATTGAAATTATGTAGATGATTCTGAACGTACAACTTCCAGTCCATTGTTTCTGTCATCTCCTCAACGTGCACGCCATGATCTTGTTCTACCTTGTACGACTCCCTAATCATGTGTTGCAACTCAGGAAGATCGAACGCACCATGTGCAGCCAGCTTTCTCGAGAAACAGCTAAACATCTGGCCGATGTCCTCGTGCGTGTGACCTACAAGAAGAAAGTTTAACTTAACTTTACTAAACACTCTCATTTTCACCAAGAACACGAGATATGATAACACAAATTTGTTTTTGTTCTCTTTCGAAGAGTTATCAAGTGTAAGATATAGGACTCTCGAAAATGGTACAGAAAGTTGAGAAATCTGACGATGAAGAACAGTTAGCATGCAATTAGAATCTGATTTGAAGTTGTCAAAGAAAATAGTTGCAGAGGCGTTCGATGAGAGTCCTAGCACCTTAGCCCCAACCACGTGAACTTTACACAACGTTCCCTTCTTTTAGTTTCGAATCCTTTGGAACCCAAGTGAAGTGTGGCAGTATAGTCTTGCTCTGATCCATCCCATCAATGATCATTGCGACATACTCTGACGGATGACTTGAAGCCTTGTGGCGATGCTTACTGAGTTTTTGTCTCTCTTCTGCTTGCATTAACCGGTGCTTCTCTAGTGCCTTGCCAAACATTTCTGCGCAAATAACAAAACAAGCGGTTACTTTGTCAAAACATGTTAAAGAAAAGAGACAAAGCGCGATGAAGGGCCTTAAAATCGAAAGCAATGATTAGACAAAGTGTTATAGGGCTATTACTCAGGAAAGTCGGTCCTCAAGTGTCGCGCATCATAACATTTGAAGTTTGGGCAAGACAACGCAGACGTCACTAATAACAAGGGCTTTAAAATCGAAGACGACTAAGAGATAAAGTGTTAAAGGGTTTTTACTCTGAGGAGTCGAAGACGATTATTAGACAAAGTGTTATAGGGCTATAACTCAGAAAAGTAATTCCACAAACGTCGTAGAATCTTCAATTAATTCTTCCCCAAAATTTCTACTTTGATTGACTGAATGAGTTCGGGGAAGGCAACGCAGGCGTCACGAAGACGATTATTAGATAAAGTGGTAAAGGGCTTTAACTCTGAAAAGTCAAAGACGAATAAGAGACAAAGTGTTATAGGACTATGACTGAGACAGAGAGAAGACGTTTAACTATTTTTTTACCAAACTTACTACTTTCATAAGAATCCTTCCCAGTTTGCGCTGACACAAGATTCATTTTTTTTTCTACACGAAGAACATTTAGCGAGAGAGAGAGAGAGAGAGGAAGAAAAAGAAGAAATAGGAGAGACGAAGAAGAGTTCTATGAGAATCCCTCCGTAAATGTGCAAGTCACAGCCTCTACCTTCTGCAAAAACAACTTAAAGGGATATAGTTCAAAACGATCAGTCGCGTTGTGGCAAACATCGAAGAATGAACACTGAGAGAAAGAGAGAGAGAGAAAGAGAGAGAGAGAGAGAGAAAGAGAGAGAGAGAAAAGGGTCAGGAAGACAGGGGGGGAGAAAATAAGCACCGAGGTTATGTCATTACCTCGTTCGAACGCACTTGTTGCCTGTGAACGGCCTGTCTTGAATTTCAGACACGTGGAACAGACCGAGAACCTCTTCAATGCAGGAATAAGAACTTTCGGGCAGTAAACCCTCCAAATGGTCATAAATCTGGAACGGGAAGGAAGAGTCTTATTCGTGTAGAGTTCTTTGCAGTCTCGCTTGAAGAAGTCGTACACGTCTCTGTGCCGGAGAGTATCTGGAAGATGAAACTGGTCGCAATTTGGCATACTCTCTGCATTGTATCGAAAATATTCATGCAACCAGACGATAATTTGTTGTGATGAAGCAGATAATCCGACTGATCCTTTGTTTGCATGCTTGTACAGCATCATTCCTTCTCTGAACTCTTTGTGTATCTTTGCAACATGTATAGTTGAGCATCCGTACAGTTTTCCCCATGCTTTTGTGCAAATCTTTACGCCATTGAACGTCACCCTTAGCACCTCTGGATCTCCCTCATCCAAAAAGTACGACGCAGCCCTCATCTCTGCGAGAAAGAAGTTCAGTTGCTCATGTTGTTTCATCGCCCAAAATTCTTCGCGCTTGTAGAAAACATCTACCGCCGTGAACTTCTTGTAACAGTTTGCCTTGCAGCAATCTTCCTTCAGAACTAGTTCGACATTCTTCATGTTCACGTGGTAGTTAGCTTTCTTGTTGTACACACGTGCGTTCCTGCCGTGCTTTCCCAAGTTGTAAGGAGGTTTCTCACTCTTGCTTGATTTGCTGTACAGTCCTCTTCTCACCTCCTGTGCTGTTATGTGCTTCGCTTCTCCTAAAAGTTCTCCAGATAGACTCTTCTTGAACATGTCGACATCAATTCCCGACTCGTCCTTCCCTTCATCATCCTCAGAGTCTGTGTCTTCTGAATCGGCATCCTCGCTCGTTTCTTCCTCCTCATCATCGTCGTCGCTCGATTCGCCCTCCTCATCATCGTCGTCACTGGGTTCCTCTTCCTCAGTGTCGTTGTCACGCAATTCTTGCGCCATGCTGTCGTAGATCGTTTTTTTGACAACAAAGTTCTCGCTCATGTCCTGTACATCGTCTCTCTCTCTGGATTGTTCGCCTTCAACGTTCGGGCACTGCCACTTCCCTGGGCGCTCTATCTGGATTGTACTCCCCGTTTTGCCAGTTGCGCAGAGACCCATCACTGTGTTTGTTGCTCGGCATGACGCAATAACCTTTCTTGTTGTCGTGTTCGATCGCGGACGCTTCGGAAACAAACAGATATTGGTGGTCCTCTCACGAATTGCACTGAGCTTCGGTAGAGGGTTCTGCTTCTCGCCTCCGCGTGTACAACATTGACGCAGGTCCGGAAACCACCTGCTATTCTTCGTCTTGACAGTCTTGGCATCAACACTATTCTTACATTGAGAAAGGTCTGAAAACCATCTCACGGGGTTAATCTTGTGAGTACTCTGAGTACATCTTTCGGTTAAAGAATCCATGGCAGGAACATATAATATGACAACCTATCTGGCATCTAGAAATGACGATGGCGTCACCTACAAAAGAGAAAACTCGGTGCTAGCACGGGAAAGTGTGTCGGAGGACGGCCGGAAGAGCGTGGCTAACGGGCATAGACTTCTTGGACATGGAAGATATGATACGACAACCTCTCAGGCATCTAGAAATGACGATGGCGTTACCTACAAAAAATAAGACTCGGTGTTAGCGCGAGAAAATGTATCAGAGGACGGCCGGAAAAGCGTCGCTAACGGGCGTAGACTTCTTGGACATTAAATCGAAATAAAATGAGAACAGCCGCTACTGCGACCCACGTCAAGAACATCATTCACAATTTTGGATTTTTCGCCAACGGATTTTGGAGAAGTACAAATTTTGAGCCGGTAGCGATTGGGATCCCCGTAAAGAATGTCTTTAAAAGTTGTCAATTTCCCGCCAAGGTTTTTGCAAAAGTGTACTTTTCGGACCGTTAGGGACAAAAATTCAGAGAATCCGGGCTCCCGCCAAAACAAATAATTTCGACCGCTCAGCCACTGGGATCGTCGTCAAGAATATCGTTAAAATTTAGATCTCCCGCCAACGGTCGTCTCGAAAATTAAAATTTTAGAGAGCTAGTGACCAAATTTCGGAAAGCCACGACCCGCGCCCAGCTACTGGGATCCCCGTAAAGAATATCTTTAAAAGTTGTCAATTTCCCGCCAAGTTTTTTGCAAAAGTGTAATTTTCAAACCGTTAGCGACAAAAATTCGGAGAGCCCGAACTCCCGCCAAAACAAATAATTCCGACCGTCCAGCCACTGGGATCGTCGTCAAGAACATTGTTAAAATTTAGATTTCCCGCCAACAGTCGTCTCGAAAATTAAAATTTTAGAGAACTGGCGACCAAATTTCGGAGAGCCACAACCCGGTAAAACAAACAATATTGAACGCCAAGCGCCCGGTTATGGGTTGAATACGGAATTTCACTTCTTGGAGACCAAACAACGAAAATTTGGACGACCCCGCTACAAGATTTCTGAAATGTGAGAAAGACTTCGCAAGGTCAGGAGCGGCAAAAAAGAATTTCGAAGAGGACAAACATCGTCGTAGCTCAGAGAGCAAACATACATATATAAACAGAAAGAGAGAGAAAGCACCATCGAGCAGCGTCGTAGTTGCTTAATGACCGTGGTTCCAATGTAGATCGTCAAGAGTATCAAATAAACAAATTTACAAACATGGAGAGAGAGAGAGAGAGCGACAGAGAGAGAGAGAGAGAGACAGACAGACAGACAGACAGAAAAAAAGAGAGAGAGAAAGAGAGAGAGAAAAAAATAAATTGTATTTGATAATTTCACTGTAAGAATAACTCTTAAGATTTGCATGTTTTTCCAAATCTTAAACTGCTATTTTTAAAAGTATAGTGCTATACTTGGATTACAAATAAATAAGAAATACACTCCTTCGAGGACCGAAGCAGGACAGATTTATGGTTTTCTTAATAAGTTGCTAGATTTCTTGTAATTCTTTCATTTTGTTAGAAAGATGTAGGTCTGTATCCTTACCCATCTTTCCATGTTCTTGCTCCACAACCAAGGTTAAATATATAGCCCTATAATTCCGATTCAAATAACAATGACAGCGAAATGAAAAATACAGTTTTTTAAACGTATGAGAAGAACTTGTAGTGCTCGGGGGAGAAAAACATGTACTGCTCGAGGTGGAATTTTTGTCTAAGAACAGAAACACTTGAAGGATGTGTCTTTCTCATTTCTTCTTGTTGCTTACCTGGATCTAGGGATGTGGGACTGTATTTGTAACCTGGCTGACTTGTTTCGTTCATGTCATTTGCAAAGGTTAATGTAGGCCTATATCATCCATCTTCTTTCCATCGTCCTCCTCCTCAGCCAAGGTTACAGACAGAGCCCTAAAATCTTGAGTCCATGCAAGAACGACAGCAAAAAGGTCCTCTTCCTTGCGTGGATGTAGGGACTGAGGAATGTGTTTGTAACCTGCCTGATATGTTTTATTTAATCGTTTCCTAGGAGGAATGTTTTGCCTGTATCCTCCGGCTCCTTCATGCCTCGTCTTCCTCCTTGCCATGTTCTTCCTTCCTCCTCCTCACACATACACACACAACCTTGCCATGTTATTTTCTTACTCCTCCTCTTCCCCTCTCCTTCTGCTACTAGTCCAACTCCTTACCATCTTACTCCTCCCTGCCCTTTCCTTCTCCTACTTATCATCTTCTTCTTCCTGCCATCTTCTCCTCCTTCGCACATTCCCTGCGCCTTCTCCCTCCTTTCCGTCCCGCGTTCCATCCCATCCGCGTCCACGCCTTCTCCCTCCTTTCCGTCCCGCGTTTCATCCCATTTTCGACCCCTCCTTCTTCCCCCTGAGGTTCTTCTTCCCCGAATCCCCCACCCCTCGCCTTCCCCTGTTCCTTCCCCCCCAGGTTCCCCCCACGTTCCTCCATGCCTCCTCTTGCTCCTTGCCATGTTCTTCCTTCCTCCTCCTCACACATTTACACACA